CTTTTTTATCTTTAAAAACTGTAACAGATAAAAATAAAAAAGCTACTTAACTCATTGCAATATTCACAATGCTGATTAATTTTATTTCACCACAGAATATATTGTCGTATTTCAATATATATTACCCAGCCCTAGTGATTATAACTCTTTAGTCTTTGCAGCAGTATTGTGTTTAGTACCAGAACAACTCATCATCCACTCTTCACTGTCTCAGCATTTTCAACTGCATTCACTAATGCAGCACGAGTGCATGAATATTTCAGAGAACAAAAAGATGTATACGCTTGCCATTGATGTCAAACTGCTCTTCACTTTCTCTTCCTGCACATTACTCAGCTGTCCATCTGTTTATGTCCTTTATGTGTGTTGTAACTTTGTTCTCGTCCAAACCCTTTAATCAATGCCAATCACTAACTTTAATCAACTAACTTAATTTTGGGGGCTGGTCTGCATGTCCTTGAGTTTGTCCAAATTATGCTAACAACCCACCGTGCTATCCTTGGTGGTGGTAACTACCCTTTAAATTTATCTGATACTCAAGTAATCTCTCAGAAACTCTACTGTGTCTGTTGCCATCTCCAAACCAAGATCTGGTTTCATATCTATTCATAAATTCTAGCATTATTGATTTTTGTCATTCCAGCATCATTTTATTGGATGGTGGTGGCTATAGAGTCAGTAACATGGGCATCTGTTAAGTTGGGCATTTGTTCATACTTCAACTAGACACCCAACACCATTCCATCTGTTCTTCCTTTTTTGTTCTCCATCCCTCCCTCTCCTCCTTCCCAGCAGTCACTCAATGACAAGCGTAAAAAGAACCTCTTTTCGCGAAAATTCCCTTTCTACAAGAACAAGGACCCCAGCGAACAAGAAACAAGCGATGTGGAGCGTAAGTACATTAGCCGTGTGCAGGGCAGGGTAGCGCCACACGCGGCTACACCAACACCGCTGAACAAAACTCCTGCTTCTGTAACAACCCTAAACATGATGGCTAATTTGGTTGATCTCTTCTACTGTATGTCATTGTGAGATAATTTAGGGACCGTATGTCCATCGAAAACCACTGAAGTCTCCATATCTGGGTTTGTTGCGAGGCATGAGCAGTGTTCATCGGTAAGACGTGATATGTTGTTCCGGTAATCATTGTTATTTTTGTGGTTTTCTCTTGTTCCGTGCTCTCTGCCGACTGCTCCACAGGACCTGAGTGACGACAAAGGCTTGAGTAAGTCCACAAAGGCCACAGCAGACCTACAGAACCCCACCGGCCCCACCAAACTCCCTTTATTCCCCAAAAATCTCTCTTACACGTTTAGCAGTGATGTTCGGTTAGAATTGTGTTGTCTGCAGCCTGTGTTATATCTAGATGGCTGTAAAACACAAGCTTTGCAGATCCAGCGCTATGTTCAGGTCCTTTGTTGCCTACTATGCCCTTAACATGTTAATTCTGCTCCTCTTAAAGGGGTATAGTTCACCCAAAAATGAATTTTCTGTCATAATATACTAATTTATAAATTGACATAATTTATGTGTTGTTTTATACCAGGATGGAAACATGTTTAACCATGACAATAACACAATGAAATTTATGGTGGCAGTTTCTAGAGTATTGCTTAAAGTGATGGTTCACCCAAAAATTAAAAAAGTACTCACGTCTTTCCAAACCTGTATGCATTTCTTTCTTCTGAAGAACATAAGATATTTTGAAGAATGTTGGTAACCATACAGTTTCCCATTGTCAATGTCCCATTGACTTCCATTGCATGGGCAAAAAATACAATGGAAATCGATGCGAATTGAAACTGTTTGGTTACCAACATTCTTCAAAATATCTTTTTTTATGTTCCACAGAAGAAAGAAATTCATACACGTTTGGAACGACGTGAGGGAGATTTTCATTTTTGAGTTTACTATCCCTTTAACAACATTTGCCTTATAAATGCATTGATTAAATAGCGGTGCTTATTATGGCTAATACTTCGGTGTAGGGTTTCCTAAATGGGGGTTTGTGAGTTGATGAAAAGATATTAAGTAATTAAATTGAATGGAACATTAAAATAAACAAATGGTGCAGCACAATTAACTGACATAACACTAAAATAGTGATATATTATATTCAGATGGTCGTGACCATAAACCAACACCAGAGAAGCGTGAACATGCAAATTAAATTAAAATCTCAGGGGATACTTCAAGTAAATATTTTACTTCTAAGGGGTTCAGCTGACAAAAAAAGTTTGGGAACCCCAGGTTTAGGTCTTTGAACAAATGCCTAACCCGAAGAATTGAACATTGGTGTGTAACTCGCATCTTTTGCTTTACTTATTCTCCCCACTAAGCAATTGAACGTAATTTTTTGCCTAGTGAATCTAAAAAAAATCCTAGGGCTTGGGGTGTGGGCTCTTTTAACTTGCCAGTAAGCAACCACCTAGCAACTGCGTAGCAATGCCTTGGAAACCATGCACAAGACCTTAGCATTGGAGCAGCGAGTTTTGCACCATTCTGTTTTCTTCAGAATATGTAAAAATGTAGTTACTGCTGTGATTTTGCTTCGGGAGATGAGTTTGAGATGTGCTTTTGGGGACAAATCAAGTGCAAATAATGCTAAATTTAACTCTCATGTTCTGTTTGATGTGGGCACTGAGATACACACTCCCTTCAGTTCTTTTTTTTTTATTTCTTTCAAACAGAAGCAACTACAGTATAACGAGTTTCTGAAAAATACATGTCTACATTGTGATACAGTCTTCAATCATTTCTACATACTTGGTCAAATCAAAAATGCTAAAACAATATGAAGGGAAATCAGAAGATAATTTTTTTGGTTTTGGGTCCGTAATATTTGAAAGAATTATCATATGCTCACCAATACTGTATTTATTTGGTCAAAAATACAGTAAAAACAACAATATATTGTGATATATTTTCACAACTTAAAATACTTATTTTCTATTTTAATATATTTTAACATGTAATTTATTCCTGTGATGGCAAAGCTGAATTTCAGCAGCCATTACTCCAGTTTCAGTGTCACATGATCTTTCATAAAATATTTTTATTTGTTGATTATGTGCTAAGGAAAGATTTCTTATTATTATCAACGTTGAAAATTAGGGTTGGGCCAATAGACGATGCCATCGTCCATTGCCGATGGCTGATAGACATCACGATGTTACGCCGGCATTGTGATCTCCCCCCCGCCTTTTTGAATGCACGATCGCTTTTTAGTTTCACTAACACTTTCGAGATTCACGATCACACGTACTCTGTTTATACTATGGAGCGGCAGTACTTACAACACATTTTACAAGATTATATGTTTGTCAGTGGTACTGAGGATCTGCAAATCATTCGCCATCGTCCTCAGTCATCTCTCCTTACACCGTGTCTACACCGGACGCAACAGTTGTCGCGTCGCGCCGCATCAGCTAAAGTCTGTCTACACTGGATGCGACAAAGCGCCCGTTGAAAATCATTTGAAATTTGTGTCAGCACGTCATAAATAAAACCACTTTAGACATCATCCGATGCCTAATTTGTAGACATCGCCCAACCCTATTGAAAATAGTTGAACTGCTTAATGCTTTTGTGGAAACTGAGATTTTTTCAGGATTTTTTCTTAATTTTTTAAATTAATTTTTATTTTTTGATTAATAGAAATCATTTATTTGAGATCGAAATATTTCCAACATCAATGTCTTTACTGTTAGTTTTGATCAATTTAAAGGGGTCATGAACTGAGAAATCAAATTTCCTTCGAACTTTTGACATATAAGAGGTCATTGTGCTATAAAAACATCCTGTAAGTTTCAGAACTTTCTCCTTAGTCTAAAAACTGCTTATATTGAAGCCAATCTGCCAAAACGACAGCTTGTGGAATGTGCCACTTTATGACGTAATAGTGTGGCTAAACACCGCCTCCGCAGAAGAAGATCAACGCCTGCTTCTACATCACTGCCTGTTTAGCTCCGCCCACTGATTCACACATATAGTGTAAATAACGAGAGAGGCAAAGGCAGGTCCAGACAGAAACCAAACGATAAACTTTATTTGATGAACTTTATTTTTAATGAATTTCCAGACCGCATCAGTAAGAACTTGGTCCTTTGTTCACTTCATTTTCACTTCATATTCGTTTACAAACAAGGCACAATTTGACACAGGATTTTCAGAAAGATTGAAACTAAAAGACGATGCTGTGACGACAATATTGGATCTGACGGTAATGTTGCACCACACAAGTGTGAGTAACTGTTTTTATGATGTGGTCACTATTGCTTTGTCTGTTATTACAAATCGTTGATATACTGAGTATTTATGCATTTTTTTTCACAGCAGCGTTCCTCTATGAAGGCTGTAGGCTGTCAAACATACACAGCTGTTAGCCAATCATAGCAGTGGGCGTTTACTTCCGAGTCTACAATCCACAACACCTATTCAAACGTTCCAATGAGGAGGGTCAAAACAAGACAGAAAATAGCCTATTACTACTAAATTATGATGTTTTTTGATGTCAAAGTCTTGATAACATTAAGTGGATCTCAGAGAACAATACAAAATAAAAAACAAAGGCAGTTCATGACCCCTTTAATGTATTCTTGCTAAATAAATGTATTCCTTTCTTTAAAAATAAAATAAATTAAAATAACCCCAAACTTTTGAATGGTAGAGTGGAATCAACAGAACATGAGGGGTTAAGATCAGCATGGCTGATAGGAAAAGGTTATTTACAATCTTCCATAATGCCTAAATGTTTAGCATATGCGTCTTCTCTTAGGCTTCTACATTGAGACACTTTTAGGTGGTGGAGTGGAGCCCCTCTGTCCATCAATGTTCACTGCACCATGACTGTGTTAAGACCCCCGACAGAATTTCTTACATTCAGAGGCAATTAGATGATTAGATGTTTTTCTTTGACTGCTATAACTGTGTCCAATTCCGAGTATTGGACACCATACTTGGCTACATGTCACGTCACTTTCACTTTAAATGTTTCATACTTGTTTTATAGAAGCAAATTTATGATAAATTGAACAAAATGAGATTAGCTTCAAAGCCTCAAATGTCCTGCACAAGTTCTTAACACTGCCATCTGCTGGTGACTGATCTTAGAGTTGTGTGACATATTCCTGCAAAGCTTGTTTTTGTGTCTGTAGTGTTTATTTTCCTTCTTTATGGTTTCAGAGCATGTAACTTCTAATGCCAGCGATAGTGAAAGTAGTTACCGTAAGTTTGCGTTCCCCTTTATTCCCTTTCATCGTTGTTATTGAATTCATCTCTTTAAATTTCATGAGTTTGAGTGTTTATTTCCCTTTGTTCCCTCAGCTTTCTTTTGTGTTATATGCACACACATACTTGAAAGATGTTTACTATTCAAGACCAACATCAGAGTCAAGATTTTACACAAAAACAATTTAATGTAATATTTCAAATAAAATAGATATTTTGATCTTTTTAAAAATGCAGTAGCAAAAGCCAAGATAATTACAACACACTATTAATTTAACCGACAGAAGCTTCTTTTACTCTACTATGCTTTATAGTTCATAAGCTAGCTATATGATTTGCCCTACATGGCCGTTTCAGGTGATAAAACAGGTGCTGGTTATCTGTGCACCTTGCGTAGTGATCATGCTGGGTACACAGCATATTATGGCCTGGAATATTACCTTCAAATAAGATGTCACAGTCATTTGAACAGCCTGTGGCTTTCAGTAGTTTTGTAACTCGCCTGTCATTCATATCGAGTGGTCTGAAAAACCTCTTGAACTTTGTTAATGCTACATGGCTCTCAAATCTCATCTGAACAGAGTGTGAAAATTAGAGACTACTGTTCAAAACAAGAGCAAAAGAAATGCTCAACATCAGTTTTCAGTTACATTTCAATCTCACAAGTCTCTCGCAGTCTTTTAACCTGTTTAATAATTTATACACTTGTTGTTCAAAGGTTTGGGTTTGGTAAGATTTTTAAATACATTTTTATTTATTTATTTTGTAAATATTATGCTCAATGCTTTTCAAAGCTCATCAAAGCATAAATACAGTAAAACCTGTAATATTGTGTAATAAATTCTTTATATTTAAAAACATTTTCAAATGTATGGCAAAGCTGAATTTTCAGCATCACATGATTGTTCAGAAATCATTCTGTGCTGATTTGGTACTCAAACCTTCATTTTTATCAATGTTGCAAACCGTTTGAAAACTGGGATGCAGTGTTTTTTTTTCAGGATTCTTTACTGCTACATTTAATTCATGTGTGCTTGCTGAATAAAAGTATTAATTTCTTTAAAAAAAATCTTACTCACCCCATACATTTGAACAGTAGCATACATTATGAATAATTAGTTACTTAATGTCCTTTAGCTGTTAGATCGCATGCTAAAGTCCTCTCAGAGAAGTTGCTGTATGAGAGTATCTAAGACATATTTAAGATGAAAAAAATAGTTCCACTTTTGAAAACATATCTCTGAATTCTAGTAGATGCTTCTCAAAATCCTCTGATTCAGAGTTCATGCGAGTTCAAACTGTTTGTAACGCTGAGGAGTGTTTTACTAACTTTAGTTGAGTCTATACATGCATGTTGGGTTAATTAAATTTAACTACACAGTACATGAAGATTTTTGAACTCAGTATTTCTGTCTCTACTAGGTGGACAGGAAGAGTATGTCCTCTCATATGAGACAATCACGCAACAGGAAGGTGAGTGTCTTTCATTATGGCTTTCTTTTATTGTGGTACATTGGTTAATATCACTTCATTTAACTGTCAGTGTGTAATTCTGCTTGACTGATTGATCGTAAGGACCCATTGTAAGGTTATTATTGTGGTTTACAGTGAGTTATGCTCGTCCAGTGATTGTCCTTGGACCCATGAAAGACCGGATCAATGATGATCTAATCTCTGAGTTTCCGGACAAGTTTGGATCATGTGTTCCCCGTGAGTACATAATCATGGTTTTATCATTTCTTCTGCAGTATTTCATATCGTCTGCATTGTTTTAATGGCCATTACTGTACTTTGACCAGACACGACTAGACCAAAGCGAGACTACGAGGTTGATGGAAGAGACTACCATTTTGTTATTTCACGGGAACAAATGGAAAAAGACATTCAGGATCACAAGTTCATCGAGGCAGGCCAATATAACAACCACCTCTACGGGACAAGCGTGCAGTCAGTGCGAGAGGTTGCAGAAAAGGTGAACGAGTTCCACTTGTTAAGAAGTAATAAAGGAACTTATAGCAGTAATAAAAAATGATTTTTTTTTTTTTTGTGAGAGTGACATGCTGACCTTCAGATTTGCATTGTGCTGCATTTTTCTAATTTCTCATAAGACAATCTATTTTTCATTGTTCTTTAAGGGCAAGCACTGCATCCTGGATGTCTCCGGCAATGCCATCAAACGACTCCAGTTAGCACAGCTCTACACCATTGCGGTGTTTGTGAAACCCAAATCAGTGGAGAATATTTTGTATGTTATTTTTACTATTGTATCAAAGGCTCATCAAACACACAATAAATGCTAAAGCTTGATTATTTTTGACTGATTGGCACTAGTAATGTGTCCTCTGTGTCCTTCACAGAGAGATGAATAAGAGATTGATGGAGGAGCAAGGCAGGAAGACTTATGACAGAGCCATGAAACTGGAGCAGGAATTCCTAGAGCACTTCACCGGTGAGAACGATAGAGTAAACTTACCCACATCCCAGTCAGCTGTGACCTTTCTGCTTAGTCATTTTTTTAACGTATACCTGTCCTGCAACGAAGCCATGCCCTGCATTTAAAGTATTTTGACACACGCATCCAATTTTTCATTCCATTCCAATATTCATTTATAGGAATAGATCACTAAATGAAAATTCTGTTATCATCTGCTCAGCCTTATGTCATTCCAAACCTGTACAACATTCTTCTGTGTAACATAAAGAAGTTTTTTTTTTTTTGCTGTTCATACAGTGAAAGTTAATAGGGTCGAAAATAACATTGGACCCCAGGTAAATTTCATTGTATCGACAAAAAATAAATAAAATGTTTGTTTTTTTTTTAACTCCTTTTAATATTCATAGAAGTACGCTGGGAGAGTAAATGATGGCAGAATTTTCATTTTTAGTTGAACTATTCCTTTAAAACGTAAAAATCATCATTTGTTGATAAAAGCCAAGCTTACTGATTATAATTTGATTAAAAAGTACTCATAATTTGCACAAAACCACTGCCATTCAAATAATAAATAGGTTGTGATTTTTAATAAAACATCACAAAAAAGGTGGAGGATGTGCATCTTTACTGTGTGGTTTGTGGCTTTATATCTCCTCACAGTAAATAACCTTCAGCCAGAGGAAAGATTGCCTGGAGTATTTACAGGAGTTTTGCCTGGAGTCTTACTATATGATGTTTATTTTCAGTTTAATTCAGTATTCAGAATAAATAAATGTTACATTTTCCAAAACAGGACATTAAAAGAGGAAGCAATCGGTTTGGAATAAAAAAGTGGGGTCAGACGTTTGAAAACAGACCCACTGCCCTTTAGTTTCTATGTATTAGTGCTCACACAAAAGATTTTTGAGTTTTATATTGCTTTAACAATATAAACATGAAATTTAGTAACACCAGCTTAATTCACACAGATTTTAAAATATGCGTTGACCAACAAAAAGTGCTGCTTGGTTTGAAAGTGACTTCTGTATGAGGTGTGCTTCATACCCCACTACATTAATGACTATCGACAATGAACCTTTGTTGCTGTGAAATTTCTCCAAAATGTTGCTAATGTGGCTGCACCTCAGGACAAAACAAAATTGTCCAAATTTAGTTTTTGTGTGTGTTTATGATACAATACTTTTAAGTATTCCAAGTATTATTTACTTTTGATATTTGTAGGATTTTCTTAAATATTACTAAATAAAACTAAATACCAGTGGCAAATCATTGTGGGCCACCTGTATCCAGTCCCAACTTTCCTGAGAATTTTTTATATTTTTCCATTGAACATGGAGATCTCTGATACTCATTGATGGTCATCTTATCTTTCCTTTAGCCATTGTGCAAGGGGACACATTAGAAGAGATCTACAACCAGGTTAAGCAGGTCATCGAGGAGCAGTCTGGGCCGTTCATCTGGGTTCCAGTCAAAGAGAAATTGTGAGACGACTGGAGACAAATAAACCTTATTCTTCTTTAAACGTTTTTTTTTTTTGTTGGTTTTTTTTTGTTTCTTT